TCCCTGCACTCCTGGGCCATATCCCTATAATCTCCCCAGGATGTGTATCCCTCCCTCCACTGCCTATGCATTTTGTTTTTGTGTTTTAGTTTGGCTAAGAGGTCTTGACTTAGCCAAGCTGGCCTTCTGCCTCCCCTGCCTGACTTCCTGCATGTTGGGATTGAGAGCTCTTGTGCCCTAAGAAAAATATCTTTAAATAATTCCCAGCTCTCGTTCACTCCTTTATCTCTGAGGGCAGTTTCCCAAGGGATCCCACTCACTAGTGCCCTAAACTTTCAAAGTTTGCCTTTCTGAGGTTTAGGGTACCAATTCTACTTTTTACCTGTCCTGCACCCCTCAAGATTGAGAATTCTACCAGAGCATGATTGCTGCAGCCCAGGCTACCTCCAAACTTGACCTCTTCGATAAGTTCTTCCTCATTAGAGAGCAACAGGTCCAGCAGTGCCTTTTCTGTGGTCAGGCTCTCCATCACCCGTACTAGGAAGTTGTTCACAACGCACTCCAGTAGTTTCCTGGACTGCTTGCAGTTTGCTGTGCTGCTTTTCCAGCAGATGTTCAGGTGGTTGAATTCCCCTATCAGGATCAGGGCCTGCAAGTGTGATGCTTCCTGCAGTTGAAGAAGGAATACTTCCTCAACCCCCTCTCCTTGATCAGGTGGCCTGTAGTAGACAGCAATCACAAAGTTTCCTTTGTTTGCTTGGTCTCTAGTTTTCACCCATAAGCTCTTGACATGCACGTTGCTAAAAAAGTGTCGTGTTGCCCCTTGCCACTTCCCAGGCTTAGTGGCTGTAGGTCTGCAGCTGAGGACACACATGGGGCTGGGAGAATAAGACTCCTGAGCACTGTGCAGGAGGGCCTGGTGCAGCGGAGTGTGTCAGCTGCTGTGGGCTGTGTGGGTGAGTGCAGTCAGGGCTGTGCAGGATGAGGCCCAGGTTGCCTGCTGGAGCGGTCCGGGGGTTTTCCCCGAGTTTTGCATCCCAGCTGAAGAGCTGGCCTCTCCGTGGGGATGCTTAGGTTGTGTGGAGACCCTGTCTGCTGTCATGCATCGCTCCTGGTTCCCAAGCTACCTTGGTTGGAGTTGCCGTCTGGGCCTCCATGTGCCTCCTGTGGCCCAGCGTAGGCATGGGGTGGGATGGAAGTGTAGGACACAGTAGGGATATGCTGTGCTTGGACGCCTCTTCACGTGGTGATCTTGCCAGGCTCCATTAGCAAAGCGCTCGCTCACAGGCACTGCTACAGAATAGTGTCAGAAGGGAGAACAGTTGGCCTGAAACTTACTGAGCTTCTTTAACCCTGCAGTACAAATACAAAGAAGGCTATCGCAAGCAGCTTGGCCACCACATAGGGGCCCGTAACATAGAGGATGATCCGAAGATGGTGTGGTCGATGCACGTGGCCAAGACCAGAGGTGACAGGGAAAGCAGCTTGGCCACCACATAGGGGCCCGTAACATAGAGGATGATCCGAAGATGGTGTGGTCGATGCACGTGGCCAAGATCCAGAGTGACAGGGAGTACAAGAAAGCCTTTGAGAAGACGAAGACACACTTCAGTAGCCCAGTGGACATGCTGGGAATCGTGTTGGCCAAGAAATGTCAGGAGTTGGTCAGCGACATTGATTACAAGCACCCTCTGCATCGGTGGACCTGTCTGCCGGACCAGAACGATGTTGTACAAGCCAGGAAAGTGTACGACCTGCAGAGTGATGTAAGTTATTCTTTACTGGCAGTGTGGAAACCAGCAGTCTGTCTTGTGTTCTGCTCCGCTGTTGGAGAAGGTCCGGGTGGGGAGCATGTAAGTCTAGGCTGATGCTGTGAGACTGTGTTGTAGCCGTACTATCTTGCTGAATCATAGAATGGTTTTGGTTGGAAGGGACCTTCAAGATCATCTAGTTCCAATGCCCCTACAATGGGCAGGGACACCTTTCATTGGATCATGTTGCTCAAAGCCCCATCCCACCTGGCCTTGAACACTGCCAGGGAGGGAGCATCCACAACTTACCCGGGCAACCTGTTCCAGTCCCTCACCACTCTCACAGTAAAGAATTTCTTCCTAATACCTAATCTAAATCTACCCTCTTTCAGTTTAAAACCATTACCCCTGTGTTTCTATTGAAAAGAAATGTTCAATTTCAACCTCTCTCATCCAGGACTTTTAAATTTCTCATTTTACAGTTCATGAGAGATCTCAGCAGTCCATCTCTCTTTTTGCTGAGATTTAGTTCAGAATGGCCAGGGATGAAGTTTTCGTGGGGTCATACTTTATGCTCGGAGTAGAGTCCTGTCTTGCCTTGATCATTTTGGGGGGAGAGTTGCGGCAGGTGGCTAGAGTTCTGTATGGCAGGGGAAGGGCAACGGAGTCAAATACTTTCTTTTGGAAGACCAAGAGTGGGCAAAGGCAAGCCACGTGTGCAGTGGTGAGTGGTATGAAGAGCATTAGGTGATGCGGTATAAGGCTCCTCCTGTGCCACTGCCAGCTGGAGATTGCCACATGGGGCAGGTCTTTTCCAGGGAGACTAAGAAGATGGTGAGGGAGGGTTTGTGGATTGCTTGGCACGTGCTTGTGCTGTGGTAGGCGTGGGGAGCCAGGTTGTGGGGGGCTGAGCTTAATGGGAGTCCCTTTTGTGGTGGCTGGTGGGTTGACCCAGGGGAACGTGTTTTGGTAGGCAGAGCTTGCCACGGTAGGAGGAGTGGCTGCATGGAGCAAGGAGGTTGCTGAGCTGCTTTGTGTCCTTGCTGTCCTTTCAGAATGTGTACAAGTCCGACCTTCTGTGGCTGAGGGGCATTGGCTGGTCCCCAAGTGGTTCGCTGGACGATGAGAAGAATAAGAGGGCGGGCCTCATCCTGAGTGACAAGGGGTATCGGCAACACCCGGACACCATCAAATTCACGAGCATTCCTGACTCGATGCCTATGGTGCTGGCAAAGCACAACTCTGAAATTATGAACCAAGTGAGATTTCCTTGTGTGTGCAACCTGAAGGAAACGAGTGCATTTCCCAGGACTTTGGGCTCTCTCCTTCCAGGGCCTGGGTTTTGCAAAGTGGGGTATTGCGTCCTTTGCATCCGGGATTTGTGTTCCTTGTTTTAGACCAAATTCTATTTTGTGTGGTTGGAGCGGTGACTGGGTGCAGTGTGGAAAAGCAAAGGGTGAAGCGTTAGAAAGTTTTGGGACAGGAAAAGGCATTCCTGAGTCAGTGCGAAGTAGAGGCCCCTTGCTTCAGTTTGTTGAGCTAGCTTGCTCTGTGAGTTTGTTGCCCGGTGCTTGCGTGATCGTATTTCACGTTGTGTACTCATTTTTCCAGCGCTCGTACACATCAGCCTGGGAGAAAGATAAAACCAGCGTTCACATTATGCCGGATACACCTGGTATTTTGCTAGCCCAGCAGAACCAAATGAACTTCAGTGAGGTAGGTGTTTGAGCTGGGGTTAAGTGTGCGTCCCTGGACGCTGCTGTGGCCTGGGAAGAAGTGTTGCTTGAGGGGAGTGCTTGTTTTTCCTTCAGAAACTGTACAAGCTTGCGATGGAGGAAGAGAAGAAAAAGGGCTACGACATGCGGGCAGATGCCATTCCTATCAAGTCTGCTAAAGCTTCCAGAGACATTGCAAGTGATGTAAGTACACAGGAGCCCTTGGCGGCACGCCCTATCAGACAGTTCCCAGGTGCTTGCAGTTGAAGCCCAGGGTTTGCAACCTTAGCCAAATGGAGGCTACCCAGCACTTGCCTGTCATTACCATTCAGCTAGTCCGTAAACGTGTTGGTTCTGGAGGGTCTGCCTGTAGCTGTCCCTGCCTGTTATAGGTGTGTGGTGTTGCAAGGGAATGTGTAGCCAGGGTGGAGAGAGTAACAGCAGGAGCTGGGTGATGGACATAATCCAAAGCAGTGTCCCTCCTGGGCTTGTGGCAGCGTCTCCTTAGGCAACAGACTGGACTTTTGAGGTCGTGTGCTGTCGTGGCTGGAGTGATATTGCACTTCACTTGTAAGAGAGCAGCAATGATACACTTTATTGATATAAAACAGTGAGTTAACAGAGTTCAATGGTAAATGTGACAGTGGTTTAACAAGATTCGGTGGCAAGGTACACTTGATTATTTACTGCATAGAGGACAGGGTCAGACAATACTGTCAGGGAGACCCTTCCCTTGAATCATGAGGTTCAGAAAGGACCCCCTTGCTTTCGACAGTGAACAAGATTCGATGGCAAGGTACACTTGATTATTTACTGCATAGAGGACAGGGTCAGACAATACTGTCAGGGAGACCCTTCCCTTGAATCATGAGGTTCAGAAAGGACCCCCTTGCTTTCTAAACTCCTTCTCAGAGAGGAGTCTAGGCGTGGCTGGATCCAATCCTAGTCCCAACGGTTTAAGTCTATGGTATTATATATGCACAATCAGTCCTTTATATCTCTTAGCTAAGATTTCAAAGTTTAGCATGCTGTTAGTCACTTACAGAGGATCTGTTGTGGCAAGGAATCTCTCGACCTTAAGGAGTAACCTTGAGAGGCGTCCCTACTCAAGGGGAGATCCTGGCGTGCAGGAGAGCTCAACGGGCCCTGGGCTGTCTACTATTTATAAAGTAAGACAATTGATTTATAGTCATATTTGCATACCAGCAAGACGTTTGTGTCACTGCTCCAGACAGGCCTTGGCTACTATGTTGTATCCATCCCCAAAGTCCAGCATAAGCTTGATGCAGCCATCATGACCCCACTGGTGGTCATTGCTTACACGGGGGGGGAGCCCCCCGCCACATGTGCTGCCCTCAGTAGTGCAAGTCTGCACGCCCCTAGTAGTGCAGGTAAACAGCTGAGCTAGACATTAGGAAAGACAACCCAAACCAAGTTTTTGTGTAAAAATAAAGGCAGTATAAAAGTAAATAATTTTTATTATTATTAGGTATTAATATCAAAATTTATTCCATATATGTGTTTAGTGTCTCTATTTAAACTTCCATGTCTGTCTCTATGCTCTTCCAGTTTTTATCATCTCCTGAATAGATTGACTAGGAGTTTATTTGGCTATTGTGCTTGAAGGCCACTGATTCTTTACGTAGGGGATATTTTTTGAACTTCGGGCCTTTCATATCACTGCCGTAATTTGGAGACATTTTTGCTCTCAGTTACTGAGTAGTAGCTGTTAATATGTAGGCCAGGGAGTTTCTTCAAAAATGTGAAGGTCATATCAGGTGGATAATGTTATGTGAATCTTTTGTAGCTGTACACTGCAGTTCATCAGCTGAATACTTTCTCACTCTAAAGTCTCTGTGGTTTCAGATACTAAGTTCTCTGGCGGTTGTGCCACAGGGGCTGCTAGGAACATAAAGAAAACTAAACTAAAACTCACTGAACTTTTTTTTGCCTATAGTACAAGTATAAGGAAGGCTATCGCAAGCAGCTTGGCCACCACATAGGGGCCCGTAACGTAGAGGATGATCCGAAGATGGTGTGGTCGATGCACGTGGCCAAGATCCAGAGTGACAGGGAGTACAAGAAAGCCTTTGAGAAGACGAAGACACACTTCAGTAGCCCAGTGGACATGCTGGGAATCGTGTTGGCCAAGAAATGTCAGGAGTTGGTCAGCGATATTGATTACCGTCACTATCTACATGAATGGACTTGCCTGCCAGACCAGAATGATGTTATCCATGCTAAGAAGGCCTATGATCTACAGAGTGATGTGAGTACTCGCTGATAAGCGTTGGATTTCTGAAGTGTATGTAATTTCCTTGGAATATAAACTATAGAAGGTGCTTGAACTGTCTCTCTCATATAGTGTTTTTTCATATTGTGTTTTGATTTACCTGTTCCAAGCAAGGTCATAGGATTTTTAGGAGTGAATGAATCTGTGTGTAAGGAAGGTTGAGTATTACGAAGGTTTATATACAGCTAATCAGTTAGCTGAATAGTAGAATTAGCTGTATATAATCCTTCATAATAGACAATCTTAATACCTTTATATGTGGATTAACTGGAAAGAGGAAATAGCCTAGTATGACTTTTTTTTTTTTTTTAGTTGCATGACTTTAGTGGAGACAATTCCTGTGTTCTGTCTTGGAGAAAATGGTTTAAATTAAGACCTGCTGTTCTTAGTGGGTGAACATTTATTTGTTTGGAACGGATGTTACAGGAAAAGTTTATACTGACATTCAGGGTTTTGTTTTAATCCCTTTACTCTTTGACCATTCCCAGCATGTTGTTGGGTGAATGATACCTCTTGAAGACAGATAAGAGGTCTGAATCTAGGTTGCTAACAGAGTTTGTTTTGCAGATTGAACTAGGAGGAAGGCAGCTTACAGAAAGTAAGCATTAGTTGCATGGTATATATGAAATGTTTAACCGGCAATATCAATGAGACAGCTGTCTTTGTATTTTGTAATAGAACTGCTACAAGTCTGACCTTGAATGGTTGCGGGGCACTGGTTGGGTCCCAATTGGTTCCTTGGATGTTGAAAAAGCCAAGAAGGCAGGAGAGATCTTAAGCGAGAAAATATACCGTCAGCCTCCAGACACAATCAAATTTACTAGCGTCACTGATTCTCCAGAGATGGTCTTAGCCAAGCAGAATGCAGAGACAATGAATAAGGTGAGTCTTGATTCAATTAGGTAACACATCATCAGTCTCCACCTAAACCCTGGAGACAGGCCTAGAAATACAGATGTGTGGTTGCTGTGTGAGATTTCAGCACAGCAAGGCTTTAAAAGTGTAAGTTACATTCTTGGTAATCAACAGGTAACTTATTTTCAGCAAGTGCTAATTTAATAATATCTTTCAAGTTACCAAGTTAAATTGGAATTATCAGTTGTGAAGCTTTCCACATACTGTACTGTGTATCTAGTAATGTTACCTAACTTTTATCTAAATTTTAATAGAGCAATTTGTCTAATAAATCTAATAATTTTTCAAGTTTATCTAGTAATTAATAAACTACTTGTTTTAGGGCAGTCTTTGAAATAGCTGTATTTTAAATAATTCAGCGTAGTAGTTAAAATGTAAAAGTTTTTCTGAATCTGTGGTCCTGATCGCAAATAAAACCATTTCCTCTTTCAAACAGGCCTTGTTCTTAGAGTTTAGATCTCTGTGTGTCTGATTAGCATTTTGTGCCTTTTTTCTAAATATTTTTTTTTAACATAATTCTTTCTAGATTACTAATTCTTAACCTGGACATTAAGTATCTACAGGAGTGAATATAAAATCTCATTGTTATATAAGGAATAAGGATTTTTTAGACTTGGACTACAGATCTGTAATTCTTTTTATGTTTTAGGAGATCTCCAAGTAGTCACGGTTTTTTTCCCCCCTTTAACATACGTTATTTCTCCTGCAGCATTTATATACTGAGGCTTGGGATAATGACAAGACACAAATCCACATAATGCCTGACACACCTGAAATTACACTGGCAAAACAGAACATGCAAAACTACAGTATGGTGAGTGTGTTAGCTCTCCAAATGTAACTGGTCTGTTTCATGGCTGGATCATCAGTATTCTGATAAACCTTATATAGATGATACCATCAGTTTCTTTAAGTAACCCCCAATATTTATGCTCAAAATTGTGACTTTAAAAACATCGTTTGCATATTTGTACAGTAGTGCATACATACAACAGTAAGCACTATTGAGAATAAATTCCATGAGAAGTTTTGTGTCTTCAGTGAATTTTTGGGAGTCATTTCTGCCAGCATGCATACTGTTGGGAAGACACAAAATTAATTCCAACATTGGAAATACCAAAAAGGTAATTTCCAGCACAATTCTGAAGAGCAGTGATCCCAGTGTTCAATGTTAGTTTAGGCAAATAAATTGACATCCATAAAAGGTGGCTTTGAAAAGTAAGTTTTACTCCACTTGTATAGAAGAATAATTTATCTCAAATTGTAGTCAATGTTATGTTATTTAAAGTATTGAAAGAAGAAAGTTGTTAGCTAATGTATTTAGCAAAGAGCTTCCTTTGATAGAATTTGTATCAGCTACTGATCTGGGGCTTTGAGTTAAGAAAATTAGATAAAGCTGGGTTAGCATAAATCTTAACACAATTTTTTAAATCTACTCTACTTACAAGCAGTTTGTTTTGCCGAAAATGTAGTATATGGAACTTACTTACATGAACCCTATTGTTTAATTCTTCACCTAGAACCTCTACAAACAGGCCATGGAAGAAGCAAAAAAGAAAGGCTATGATTTGAGAAGTGATGCTATCCCCATTCAAGCTGCCAAAGCATCCAGGCAAATTGCCAGTGATGTAAGAAACTACTTTTTGTTTCTTTGTGTGGTGACATCTGGTCGCTGCAACCTGAAAGTTATCAGCTGGATTCTGTAAAAGGCATTTCAATGAAACTGTGATCTCAAATAATAGATTTTTGGAAGCAAATTATTATATATGTTTAAAGACTTAATTGTAAAAATTAAATGTTGAGAAGTTATAAGGACAATATAATGCTGCTATCATGTTAATTTTATAGCTCATAAACTTGTATCTTTAATTAAATCCTAACAGTATGTATATTATTATATTTAATAAGGGTTAAATATATTTAATAAGGAGAGGATTGTTTCTCACTAGTATTAGTGAAGTGTTTTTTCAAAAAAACTTGCGTAAAAATCTCTATTTAGGGTTCTAACTCAAATCTCAAAAATTTAATGTGAGAATCCACTCTAAATACAAAAGCAGGAAAAAAAGTATGCAATGACTATGACAGGTTTTGCTTCTGGGATGAGGAAATGTCACTGAGAGACAGAGGATAACAGTTCTTTATGCTCCTTGTTTTTCTATCAAGATTGATATTTAATCTGTTAGTATTAAGACCAACTCAGACTATCTTCCTCAAGGTGTTTTGGAATAAGCTTTTAAAATAAGTTAATCTTTACATTTTAATCTTAATAGTAAAAGAATGTGGAATATCAAACTTGTTAGTAAGTATGTGACATTAAATGTTTAGTTAATTGAAAGTGTGATATAGTTATATAAAAAATCAGAGATAATGATATCTGTAATAAAAATCCTTTTTGTGTGAGAATTAGTAAAACTTAAAAACTAATGAAAGACCTAAACCATATTTTTCTCTAAACAAAATAGTAATGGCTATGTTAAACTGTGTGAATTATTTATTAATTTATAAATACACCATGTGAATATGGATATACTTTATTTCAGTACAAATACAAAGAAGGCTATCGCAAGCAGCTTGGCCACCACATAGGGGCCCGTAACATAGAGGATGATCCGAAGATGATGTGGTCGATGCACGTGGCCAAGATCCAGAGTGACAGGGAGTACAAGAAAGCCTTTGAGAAGACAAAGACAAACTTCAGTAGCCCAGTGGACATGCTGGGAATCGTGTTGGCCAAGAAATGTCAAGGGTTGGTCAGCGATATTGATTACCGCCACTATCTGCATCAGTGGATCTGTCTGCCAGACCAGAATGATGTTATCCATGCTAAGAAGGCCTATGATCTACAGAGTGATGTGAGCTCTTTTTGATTTAACTTTTTGGTGAGGAATGTATGTGATATATTACATAGGTGGACCAGGCCATCACATACCAATGTGGTGGAACCAAATTTTCAAGACTTATTTTTAAGTTTTATGGCTAATAGAAACTCAGATCTCCAATAGGATATGTTAACTAATAGGTATTTAAATTAAATTCTGTAATTCCAGAATTTGGGCTATTTATCATTTGCCATTCTGAGAAACTTGGATAATGGTTTCACTCTTAATGTAGATGAAATGCAGTTATTTTTTCTAAGATTTTCTCTAGGGTTTTGAATTTATTTGAATTAAAAGTTGATAGTGAGGTTACTTAACTGTGAAAAGATGCACCGTGTAAAATTGCATTATTATTATTATTATAACCTATGTATTTTTTTTGTAATAGAACTGCTACAAGTCTGACCTTGAATGGTTGCGGGGCACTGGTTGGGTCCCAATTGGTTCCTTGGATGTTGAAAAAGCCAAGAAGGCAGGAGAGATCTTAAGCGAGAAAATATACCGTCAGCCTCCAGACACAATCAAATTTACTAGCGTCACTGATTCTCCAGAGATGGTCTTAGCCAAGCAGAATGCAGAGACAATGAATAAGGTGAGTCTTGATTCAATTAGGTAACACATCATCAGTCTCCACCTAAACCCTGGAGACAGGCCTAGAAATACAATGGTCACAAGTAATGCTGAAGTTCAGAGATGATGTATTTTCAAATAGTGTGCTCTGTTTTTTTCAATCAAAACTATTAGGCCATGTAACGGAAGAGTCAACTTTGTCATGATATTCTGCATATTACATCTTAATCTTTTCTTTGACATGTCTGTGCAGTGAGCAGTAATAATGCTTTGGTTTATTCATAATTCTTAAGTAATGTGGCAGTTTTCTAAGTGTTGTTAAACTTCCTTTGATAAATTCTCTTTTTAATAATGGTATCTCTACCTGATTAAATACACAACCATTTATCCATGCTATATTTCCTGTAATTTTACCTAGTATGCTCTATGTTTTACCTGATTAATGAGATATTAACTTGTTTTGGAATGCAATATTGATCTCTTCCTGTATTCTTTCTTAGCATTTGTACACTGAAGCATGGAATAAAGATAAGGCCATGGTTCATGTCATGCCTGACACACCAGAAATCCTGCTAGCTAAACAAAACCAATTAAACTACAGTCAGGTGAGTAAAACTGAAGAGTTGAGAGAATGAAAGGATTTCTGACAAGTACAATTTTGTCATCTCTGAATTTTTATTAATATTATAATATTGTCAAGATGTTTAGTTTCACAAATTGCCAGCTCCACTGCTAAAATCAGAGTTGTTCTTTTGCTAGAATTTACCTCCTGGGTATCTAATTGGGCTTTTAAAGTATATTATCTGCCATAAATGAGAAATCATTTCTATAGCAAGGTATGGAAATAAATTATTTAACTTTTAGAATATTCCTTTCTTTGCCTTTCCTAAATGATTTCCAGTTTTCAAGTGTCTACAATACAATTACAAGATCTTTGAAATTTGCATTTTTTTATTTTCTGGAGCAGATAGAACTGTGTTCATATATTTAAGTTGTCTCAACATTAACAATATTGTTTAGGGACTTAATCTGTTTTATTACACAAATGTGCTTAAGTGAAGTGTAATTTTGTTTTTGAAACAAAAATGTGAATTTTTTTTCTCACAGAAAAGGTACAGACTAGCTTTGGAGGAATCAAAGAAGAAGGGTCATGATTTGCGTTTTGATGCCATTCCTATTCAAGCTGCCAGAGCATCCAGAGAGATTGCCAGTGATGTAAGCAGGTTTTTTTATCATGTCTGTATGGATTTGGTAATGGAAAAGTTTGTTCCATTGTTTGTTAATGTAATACCTTAAGTTTGTAGAATAGATAATACTGAAATCCAGTGATTCTACTGCATGCCTTTAGTACATGAAAGGAATAGATAGCCAGTATTTTTATACATGAGGTATATATCACAGTAATAAATAAATAAAATAATGTGAGGATTATTTCTATGCCCCCTGTAATAGTTCCATTGATGTCCATGGATGTTCAAGTAGGATAATCAATAAGGCGTACGAGTCTATGCTAGAGTTAGTCAAATTAATTTCTGATTCAAAATAGGAAATACTTTAAAATCTCTCCGCAAAATAGATATATTAGTAAATCAATTCTAAAAGTTCTAAATTGTTGTCTTTTCCTGTGGAAAAAATAGTTCTGTTGAAGTGTCATATTGAAATCCAAGATGTCTAAATACAAAAGCAGGAAAAAAAGTATGCAATGACTATGACAGGTTTTGCTTCTGGGATGAGGAAATGTCACTGAGAGACAGAGGATAACAGTTCTTTATGCTCCTTGTTTTTCTATCAAGATTGATATTTAATCTGTTAGTATTAAGACCAACTCAGACTATCTTCCTCAAGGTGTTTTGGAATAAGCTTTTAAAATAAGTTAATCTTTACATTTTAATCTTAATAGTAAAAGAATGTGGAATATCAAACTTGTTAGTAAGTATGTGACATTAAATGTTTAGTTAATTGAAAGTGTGATATAGTTATATAAAAAATCAGAGATAATGATATCTGTAATAAAAATCCTTTTTGTGTGAGAATTAGTAAAACTTAAAAACTAATGAAAGACCTAAACCATATTTTTCTCTAAACAAAATAGTAATGGCTATGTTAAACTGTGTGAATTATTTATTAATTTATAAATACACCATGTGAATATGGATATACTTTATTTCAGTACAAATACAAAGAAGGCTATCGCAAGCAGCTTGGCCACCACATAGGGGCCCGTAACATAGAGGATGATCCGAAGATGATGTGGTCGATGCACGTGGCCAAGATCCAGAGTGACAGGGAGTACAAGAAAGCCTTTGAGAAGACAAAGACAAACTTCAGTAGCCCAGTGGACATGCTGGGAATCGTGTTGGCCAAGAAATGTCAAGGGTTGGTCAGCGATATTGATTACCGCCACTATCTGCATCAGTGGATCTGTCTGCCAGACCAGAATGATGTTATCCATGCTAAGAAGGCCTATGATCTACAGAGTGATGTGAGTAAACCGTTAAATTTACAATACATGATTAAATATACTGGGTCTTGTACAATATAATTTTTAAAAGATTTGTACTATGCCTTAGTCACTTGCATCAGACATGTTGATAGAGGTGAAATGTTTAATATTCTATCATCAAATTTATGTTTAATCCTGTTTTCTCAGTCCTTAGCCTGAGGCGTAATTTGTGTGTAACTCTGATATTTGTGGGGTTCTTCAAGAAATCTATTCTTTTTGTTATTTAATAATTATTTTACTAAATCTTAAAAAATAAGAATTGTTTTCAAAACCATATCCTGCTCCTATGCAGAAATATATACAATTGTTCATATAGACTAGAATATGCTTATTTATAATTATTTTAATATTTGATCACACTTGCACTTATATAATGAAATTACAAATTTTTTCAGGCTGTTTACAAATCAGATCTGGAATGGCTAAGAGGTATTGGATGGGTTCCTATTGGTTCCATGGAAGTTGAGAAAGCCAAGAAAGCTGGAGAAATCCTGAGTGAAAGGAAGTATCGTCAACCAGCAGACCAAATTAAATTTACTAGTGTGACAGATTCTTTGGCCATGGTCTTAGCCAAGCAAAATGCTGAGATAATGAACAAGGTGAGGGGTTTTTTTTTGTCAAAATCGCTAGTATTACTAGCTGATAGAACTTGTTCATGCGGTGAAAAATACAAAATACAAAGTGAGACTAAACACTTTCATTGTGGACTTAGAGAAAATGAATGTCCAAATTCAGCCTTTGCACAGGAAAGCTCTTATCTCAGGGCTCTGTCTGAACTGAACACTTAGTAAAAATGTCCAGAAAAAATTCACCTAAATCACATATTTTTCAAGAGTAATACTAAAAATTTCGGTGAATTTCCCTCTTCCTCCCATCTCAGCTGAAATCCTATTTTTAAATGTTTGTTTGGTATGGTTTTTCTATTTTGTTAATGCTACTTCACTATACAAAGCTCATCTCTGACAGAACAGGCTAAATTTTTTTGCAGTTCTTAGACAATACTGTGAAATCTGCAGAAACGATGTTCTAGCAAGGTGTTAGGGTATGTCTAGAGGTGGTGGTGCCATGACCATGCTATAAGATAGGATGTAGCAGAATATTGAGGCTTTTACTGCAGCTGCTATGATGATGTATTGTTGACTGAATGTCATACTGTATGATGAACAAGTTATGAGGAAATGGCTTATGTTCCCTGGAAGTGAAGCTTCTGCAATTTATCTCAGACCTGGAGGATGAAAGTCGCGAAGTACCTACTCCTTCTCTTTAATAAGAAACATCAATCAAACAACTCTTACAGATATGGCAGAATAATGAATATAGTTCTCCCCCTACAGCAGTTTCCCAGCAATCCTAAATCAATCAATTGCTGTGCCAGCTTAGCCTGAGAAATAATGAGGAAGGACAAAGTTTCCTTCTTGAGCTGTTCAATGAGAAACTTTGCTATGTCAGGGTATTTAAAGCTTGCTTGAACTACCCCTCGCAGTTTGTAAAATACTTTCTTTGGACAAATGTATTAGTTTGGTTATATATATCTTGTACAGCTTCAAGATTACTTTTCTTTTATATCATGGATATATTTTTGATAACTACTGCTTTCAAATTTGCAGTCTTTCTATCATGACACACATAAAGAAACTTTTTAAAGGAATGTGTTTTCCTCTCTCCTAGCGTTTATACACAGAAGCCTGGGATGCAGACAAAACATCAATTCACGTCATGCCTGACACGCCGACAATTTTGTTAGCGAAGGCCAATGCAGCTAATGTTAGCCATGTAAGAACATATAAAAATATACTAAAGTAATGGAAATTCAGAAATTACGTAAGCATTTCTTTAACCGTAAAGATCTTCTAAAGTATGCATTCATGAAAACTTTAAGAAAAAATTATGAAATGTAGAAATTCCATCTTTCAGAATATTGAGAAGCCATTTTCTGTCTTCTTTTGTGTAGAAACTTTATATACAAGCCTGGGAGGAGGCCAAAAAGAAGGGTTATGACATCAGAGCTGATGCAATTCCAATCCGAAGTGCAAAGGCATCAAGGGATATTGCGAGTGATGTATGTTTTTCCTTTACATTTATTTTCAGTTAGCTTGTGAAACAAGAACGAAGTAATAACCTATGTACAACGTAAAAAAACATGGTATATCAGATTCATCTTGAAAGCCTACTAACAAAGAATTCACTGCAGAAAGAAAATGGGCAACAGTTTACAAAAGGAACATTGAATTATAAATCCTGACATTAAGCAGATATTAGAAAAGAATAAACTACAATGAAAATAAACAGAAGTGGTGGAGTAAAAATGCATTAGGCATTTCTAAACTCTAAAAAAGTATATTTCATACCATAAAAAAATATATTTGTGATCAGTAGCAACATGAAATTATGGGAAATTCATCCCAGATTCACTATTTCTTTTAATTCTTCTTTTTGCATTTCCAGTACAAGTACAAAGAAACGCACGAGAAGCAGAAAGGCCACTACATTGGGTGCCAGACTGCCCAGGAGGATCCCAAGCTGTCGTGGGCTGCGCGTGCCATGTTGCTGCAGAACGACCGACTTTACAGGAAGGCGTACCATGATTCAAAGGCCCAGGTCCACATACCAGTCGACGCGATGTCAGTGCAGGCAGCCAAGGAGTGCCAGACGCTAGTCAGTGATGTTGACTACCGCCACTACCTTCACCAGTGGACCTGTCTGCCCGACCAGAATGACGTGATCCATGCAAGGAAGGCCTACGATCTACAGAGCGATGTGCGTTTGTATAGAGATGTGGTAGTTACTACTGTTGCTGTTTAAGAGTGATGTGAGTAAGAGTAGCTGTAGAAAAGCTTCATGGCAGGTGCGTGAGGCTCTGTTTGTTAGTGACTGTGCAACTGTCCTTTCAAACGATGCACGTTCATGAGCCTGCAGTCAGTCCTGGTATGTTTATTTTGATTTGTCTGGGTGATCCTTTCCAAATCAGTAGTGTTTTCAGCCTGGGGACCAGAAATGTTCCGGGCAGTTCATAAGGAAGCCATGTTTTTTTGGTCTGCTGTAGAATGTTTGCTTGCAGTTTGCTTGCGGACTGCTTGCAGATTATGCCACTGGTTTTCATGTAGCAAGTATCTTTAAAAGTATCTTTGTTGCTGTGCAAGTCAGGGGTTTATCTGTGTGTGGGAAGGACCTGGTACGCCACGGTCTCATTGACTGCTTGTTGCGTAACTGTACGAGAAGGAGCTTGGGGAAAGGCCTGTACGAAACCTCTCTGCACGTAGAGTTGTCTCGGCAATGTCAGTAACCCTTGGTTTATTTGTAGAATGTGTACAAGTCAGACCTGGAATGGTTGCGAGGCGTCGGCTGGTTGACAGAAGGTTCTGTGGATGTGGTGAAAGCAAAGAAAGCCCAGGAACTCCTGAATGAGAGGTTGTACCGCACGCGGCCGGAGGAGATGAAATTCACTAGCATTACTGACACGCCAGACGTTGTCCAGGCTAAGATCAATGCTTTGCAGATCAGTGACGTAAGCTTACCTTTCACTTACCTTTCATTTATGTGATGACATTTCTTTTCTTTGTGGTGGAGAGTAGAATTTCTGCCGTGGGAATGACTAATTGGAAAGTATTGCAAATCAGAATTACCAAAGAATTCCTGCTGGTGTTTTTGTTTTTTTTTTTTTTTAAGTGTTCAGACCATCGTGAAATGTCATTATGCTTCCTTTCTCCTTAGCATCTGTATCGTGAAGCCTGGGATAGAGATAAGACGCAGATTTCCATACCTTCTGATACTCCTGTAATGCTGCAGTCCAAAGCCAATGCTCTCAACATCAGCAATGTAAGAGAATAAAATCATTATGCGTGTGAAGCATTATTAAATTAAGGGTATGACAAATGCTCTTCCAGTTTTTGCCCTGTGTCTTTTAGACTTCACTGTAAATGGTGGTGTACTAACGCTGTCTTCTAATGTGCTTGTATTCTAAACAGTAGATTACATCTAGAGGCTCTTTAGGCAGAGTGTGTTGTTGATGAACCAGTGAGCAGTGTTTATGAACCAGACATTCATTAAGCAAGGTAGGCCGGAGGTGTTGATCTGGAATCCATGCCTTTGTATCCTCTCTCAGTCTGTGTGAATGTGAAATTGATGGAACTGCTTCCATGGAACATGCCAGCACTGATGCCTTTCATCCTAAACTGCGCAGATTCCTGAGGGTGTGACTCACGGAGTTGCCTGCCTTGCTTGATAGGTTGTGTGTTCATGAGCAAACTCCAAAGTTCAGTGTCCAATTCCACACAACTCCTCCCTTTGACAAAACTGGTAAATACTTTCCATGGAGTTGTTTTTGGAGTCTGTAGACTCATCAACCCTGACATGTTTTGCAGATTTGTGATGTTTCACTCACTAGTTTTATGGGACTAACACACTGGAGATTCTTAAAGCTGGAAACATTTCCCATTTTGCATTTTCAGCAGGACTTGACTGGGGCTTTGCCTGAAAACTGTATTTACTCCCAGCCTTTCTTGATGTTGATAGTATGTTAAATATTTTTCAAAAGTACCTGATGTGATTGAATTAGGGGTGAAATATTTCAAGTGCTATCGCAACAGACATTTCACTTCCCCTGTTTTTGTCTTGCTCGTGTTTTGATTACTGTTTTTTTCTGAGTTCCTTATAGTCTGACCTACAGTAGCATTCAGTTTCTGAATTTTCACAGTCATCAAAAAAGGACTGAAAAGTGTGTCATTTACCCACCTGTACTAATGACAAAGTTGCCAGCTGGGCTGACCAAGCTTCTGTGGACTGAGATGCCACTAAAGAAGGAGCCCTCATGTTCTTGGACTTGATGTCCTGGACAGGTTGGGTGTCACTAGACACGTAAAGGCACTTTGGTTTCTGTTCAGTCTCGTAAATGGACTGAGCCTCTCTGCCTACACTCGCTTTCTTGATAGGACTAAAAAAGGCTGGTAAAGAAAGAAGTCTCTAGTGGCTATCAGGAGGCTTCATAACATAAGTAGGGTCTGGATACGTTTTGTCAGTAGAACAGATGTTTTGTCCCCAGTAGCTATGACCCTGCGATCGGGTGTGTGTGAGCAGAACCTCTGACTGTTGTAGGGTCATGCAGAATTCAATGTTGGTCGTGGAGGTGTACACTCTGTCAGTTGGACTGCCTGTTTGGGGCCTGTGTGGTGAGCTCATGCATGTGGTCAGCAGTAGTCTGTTAGAGGGGACGTTGCGATATGCTTTCAGGAATATTTCAGCCACTCTTTGTGTTTTGGATTTTGCACCTACTTTAACTTTTAACTCATGAGTTTTCTGTTAAGACACTTGCCAGGATCATTGTTGTAACCCTGCCAGTTACAGGGGGCAAACAGAGCACCCAAGCTGTTAATTCCAAGAGAGTAGGTTTTAGGAAAAGGCATTGGTATCAGAGTCTTGACCGCATGTAACAAGGGTGGTTAATTTTCTTTGCAGACATTATCAGAAGGAAAAGGCATTGGTATCAGAGTCTTGACCGCATGTAACAAGGGTGGTTAATTTTCTTTGCAGAAACATTATCAGAAGGCCTGGGATGAGGCCAAGGCGAAAAGCTATGACATAAGAGCTGATGCCATTCCCATCAAACACGCCAAGGCTTCCAGAGACATTGCTAGTGAGGTACAGTCTTCTCTTAACGTGGTTGCTGCGTCTGTCTCTTCTTGTGTCCACCTCAGCGTGGAGTGAGTGAAGTTCAGTTGAGCTAGAAGCGATGTACACTTTTGTGCTCCTGTGTTATTTTAAAGCCTGTTGTGAGCACCTCTTTCTTTCTACAGCTTGAAGCTGCCTATTGGTAAGTGCTCTGTGAATAAGAGGACATGCGATATGTTTGTGAGATTGCTCAGAGTGCTGGGTAACAAAGTGTGAATTTTCAGACACGAGGCAACAATTTAAAGCTGATTAGGGCAGTGGTTGCTGCTGAATTCTTGCAGTTCCTGTAATCACCACTATCAAATATTTTCTCTGTAAAGATGTGAAATGTGGCTGGTGCTCAGAGTGGTCTTACAGAGCACACAGGTGTCTGCTTCAGTACCATTTTTCGTTCTTTACGAGTGTTAAGAAAAGCCAGAGATATTTTTAAAAAATCGTGGGTGACTTGGGGAATGCCTTTTTTGAGAGCTTGAGGGCCTGCCTTTTGAGTGGACCAGAGCTTTGTCTGTGCTGAGGCAGAACCTCTGGGAAATGTGTCAAAGGGTTGACAGCTTAGGAAGCTGAAAGCCTTTTGTTCATTAGTCACGTTCAGGTGAGCAATGTGTGGCTGCTTACGTTGTTTCTGCATTTCCAGTACAAGTACAAAGAAACGCACGAGAAGCAGAAAGGCCACTACATTGGGTGCCAGACTGCCCAGGAGGATCCCAAGCTGTCGTGGGCTGCGCGTGCCATGTTGCTGCAGAACGACCGACTTTACAGGAAGGCGTACCATGATTCAAAGGCCCAGGTCCACATACCAGTCGACGCGATGTCAGTGCAGGCAGCCAAGGAGTGCCAGACGCTAGTCAGTGATGTTGACTACCGCCACTACCTTCACCAGTGGACCTGTCTGCCCGACCAGAATGACGTGATCCATGCAAGGAAGGCCTACGATCTACAGAGCGATGTGCGTTTGTATAGAGATGTGGTAGTTACTACTGTTGCTGTTTAAGAGTGATGTGAGTAAGAGTAGCTGTAGAAAAGCTTCATGGCAGGTGCGTGAGGCTCTGTTTGTTAGTGACTGTGCAACTGTCCTTTCAAACGATGCACGTTCATGAGCCTGCAGTCAGTCCTGGTATGTTTATTTTGATTTGTCTGGGTGATCCTTTCCAAATCAGTAGTGTTTTCAGCCTGGGGACCAGAAATGTTCCGGGCAGTTCATAAGGAAGCCATGTTTTTTTGGTCTGCTGTAGAATGTTTGCTTGCAGTTTGCTTGCGGACTGCTTGCAGATTATGCCACTGGTTTTCATGTAGCAAGTATCTTTAAAAGTATCTTTGTTGCTGTGCAAGTCAGGGGTTTATCTGTGTGTGGGAAGGACCTGGTACGCCACGGTCTCATTGACTGCTTGTTGCGTAACTGTACGAGAAGGAGCTTGGGGAAAGGCCTGTACGAAACCTCTCTGCACGTAGAGTTGTCTCGGCAATGTCAGTAACCCTTGGTTTATTTGTAGAATGTGTACAAGTCAGACCTGGAATGGTTGCGAGGCGTCGGCTGGTTGACAGAAGGTTCTGTGGATGTGGTGAAAGCAAAGAAAGCCCAGGAACTCCTGAATGAGAGGTTGTACCGCACGCGGCCGGAGGAGATGAAATTCACTAGCATTACTGACACGCCAGACGTTGTCCAGGCTAAGATCAATGCTTTGCAGATCAGTGACGTAAGCTTACCTTTCACTTACCTTTCATTTATGTGATGACATTTCTTTTCTTTGTGGTGGAGAGTAGAATTTCTGCCGTGGGAATGACTAATTGGAAAGTATTGCAAATCAGAATTACCAAAGAATTCCTGCTGGTGGTTTTTTTTTTTTTTTTTTTTAAGT